CTTCCCTTCCCTTCCCTTCCCTTCCCTTCCCTTCTCTTCCCAAACCTTCCCTTCCCAAACCTTCCCAAACCTTCCCTCCCCTCCTTTTCCTTTCCTTCTCATCCTATTGTTTGTGCATGTGCAACAGGCCAGGTCTCCAGCAACAGAAAGAGAACTGGAACTTCAGAAAAGATATTTCTGCGAATTGTTCACCGAAACGTGATCTTCTGCGTCCCTTTTCTCCTAAATCCCATCACTTTTGGGTTCTGTACCATCAACCTGTGACTGTGAGCCAGCCAAAGTGCAGTTATACAGCACCTGTTCTCCACAGAGCGTCACCAAGGGATTACATTACTCAAAACACTAAAACTGCCGGTGGCTGGAAGTGCTGAGGTTCAAAAGTATGAGGATTTTGAGGGGAGTATTGCTGTCATGTTTAAAAGGTCCTGCACAGCTGCTGGGGACAGAGTCCTGCTCGCTGAGGAGCCCAGGCAGGGCTGGCGCTGAGCTGCCTCTCTCATTTGGCACTGAAGGCAGGTATTGCCTCACCCTGGGGCAGGATGCAGGGGGAGAGCTCTTACATTCAGCCACAGAAAGGAAAACATAAACTTTTTCTCCCCCCCAAAAAAACCCAAACAAACAAACAAAACAACAATTCTGAAGTTATTTGGAATGTAAAATGATGAAGTGAGGGCGAAGATCTTCACAAGCCTTCCCCGAGAAGGAATGACCCTTGCCACGCCAAAGGCTGGTGCCAGAGCCCCTGGGGGGACGGGAGCTGAGCTGACACAGTCCAGCCTTGTGCTGGCTGCAGAGGGGAGAACGAGGTCCTGGCCTGGGACACCCAGGGGAGCAATGGCTTTTGAGCCCTGAGAGGATGAAGCCCCAAGAAGCCTGGTCTGATCTCAGAGCCAGCCCTGCCTGAGCAGGGGGTCAGGCTGGAGACCGCCTGAGGTCCCTTCAGCCTGAATTATTTTCTGGTTCTCCAAGTCCTGAAAGCAGCAGACTAGAACTGCATTGACTGTATGTGAAAACAACAACTAAGAGCATCTCAAGGCTGCCTCAGAGGGGGTGCAAGAGCTGTGGGGCACAAAAGGCTACAAGGGCACAGCCAGCCCTCTTTGGAAGGGCTTTGATTTTGCAAAATCAGCTCCCAAGTAGGAATCTCTCTGAAAACTGGAGGTCTGAGGGGAAATGAAAGGCAATAGCAGTAGCCTTCTCCTCCTCTGCCCCGCAGTTTTCAGGGTCACTGTGCCAGGAGGACACGTCGAGGCAGTGCCCTGATCCCACAGAAAGCAGGGACAGAAAGTCCAGTGCCCCTGAGGATCCCTCTCATCACTGCCTGACAGCAGCTACACCGCAGCACTGGAAGACAATATCAGGCATTTTAAAAGAAAATAAGGAATATTTGTATGGTCAGGCTTTAACTACAGTGATGGCTTAAGGTATTTTTACATAATTATTTTTCGTAACAATAAATAAGCACAGAGAAGTGAAAAATCACAAGTTTTTTATGGCAAGCAGAGACCCATCCTGGCTCACTACTCATCTGATTATCTACGAAAATTTCTAGCTTGATTATCTGTTGTGAAGAGGAAGTGAAACACTTCCATTTCCTATTTAAAATACAGGCAAAATACTTAAAATCATCAGGACTGTATCATGTGAGAGCTGTCTGCACAAAATCTGAGCAAATAAACAAGGTCCTCAAAATGAAAGAACTCAAACTGAAGCAATAAAGGAAAATAAACCACTATTGCATTAATTCAACCTAGAACAGCCGTTTCCTATGTTTTTCCCCTCAGTGAAAGACAAAATTCAGCTGAGGGATGGTGCTGAGCTGGAGGTAACAGGCAGTATCACAGCTCTCAGTACTCCAGACACCTTCACTAGTGGGTGTCTGTAATAAATGAATGGAATATCACATCTTACAGAGCCTGTAAGCTGTCTGGGTACAGTAATTATCTTTCCTAAATAGCACTGGATACAGTTGGGCCTTATGTTTCTACAGGTCTTGAAGAATTACAAGTGAGGATAAAGGGGCAGGATATCGGGCCCATCTCCTACTGCTGGAGGCAGCAGAAAAGGGGGAGAAGGGGCTGAAGGGCAGCTAGGTTGGATGTGTCCTATCCCCTTCCTGCTGATTAAAGTGAAGGACCTCAGCAGAAAATTTACTGGACCCATTCAGTCTATTTTGGTTGTTTGGAAAGGTTTTGTGGTTAAAAAGCATTCAAAAGCAAACCAAAGCAAAACAACTTTAGACAACTCAGTTTTTTGGTTGGTTGGATTTTTAATTTTCCTACATGTTTGTGTGGGACAACTTTCCATCATCCTCAAAAGACTTTCAAGTGACTGTTAGAAAAGAGGAACAGGCCTCCCACCCTTATAACAAACATATGAATGCTTAGCCCTTAACAATATCCAATGCAGAATCACAGGAACAAACAGCGAATATTAATAGAATCACAGAATCAATGAATGGTTTGGGTTGGAAGGGACCTTAAAGACCATCTTGTTCCACCCCCTGCCATGGGCAGGGACACCTTCCCCTAGCCCAGGTTGCTCCAAGCCCCGTCCAACCTGGCCTTGGACACTTCCAGGGATGGGGCATTGACAGCTTCACCTGTGCCAGTGCCTTACCACCCTCACAGCCAAGAAATTGTTCCGAATATCTCACCTAAACCTACTCTCTTTCAGTTTAAAGTCAACAGAGCTTTACTCCAAAAAAATACCCTGTGCCCAAGGTGAAAGACCTTGGTTATTAAGGTTTTACCTTCTGCACACATAAACCTGGCATCATTGTGCCCAACTTGAAAAAATATTTGCTTAATACCATCGCAGGAGTTAAACATGTCAGCTCCACACACCGAATTTCTGAACACCAGCCATAATGACAGGAAACACTTCACTGGAAGTTGAATCTTTCAGTTACCTCAGCCTGGCAAAACCTGCAGAATTCTTTAATTTCTAGGTGTAGCCACATAAGTAAATATTGGCATTTTCAAAAGCTGCCAACAATCCTAATTTTTAGACGCTCAGCCTTTGTCACAAACCAGAAACCCTCAGGCTTAAATTTGGTATTTGGGGCCTTTTCCTTAAAACTGAGATGCTCTGTATCACTAATCCCATCAGAAAGTCTCTGCAAGACACATGGGATACACTGGGGATGCTCAAGGCTCCACACGTAAACAACTGTGTGATCAACAAGGATTTTGGAACAAACAAATCCTTGGAACTCTCAGTGGCCCTTTAGAAGTGGTTAGTGCTTCTCTCTTCCTGCCAGGCCCTGGTAACATCACTTTTAGCTTTTTGTCTTTCAGATTTTGCAGTTTTAACGTGGGGCTAATGCCAAGGGCCATCCACCATTGGGTTTCTCTGAATAACCTGTACAGTGCAGGTAAAACCCTTGGATGAAAGATGGATACTACTGTAAGCAGCAAGAGTGTTGTGGATGTGCTGAGGGGTGCACACGGTTTGGGTTTTTTGTGTTTTTTGGTTTTCTTTTGTAGGAAGCTTCTTCTGGAGCGAACCCAACACAACCCTCTGCTGCATCCCACCTCCCCCAGATATGGCCCATTTGCCTGGGGAAAAGGGGTTGTGCTGTCCAAGTGTGACAGCACAACACACAGATTGAAAACCCCTCAAACCAGGGCTTGCAGTCACTCTTAAGTTCCTGTACTTTGTTACCTAAAGCATGACAGGATAATGAGGTTTAATCACATTTGACATTTAGCTTGAGGTACAGTAAGTACACCTAAATCACCTCTTTGGCCAACACTGGCTTTGATGTTCTCATGGGAGACAGTTATTGTTGTCTTCAAAGGTTAAAGCCCTGACTAACTCCGTAGGTAGAATGACAGGAGCTCAAGGATGAAGCAGCAAAGTCTCTGGAGTGATCACCTACATGAACAGAATTTCTTCCACCCAACTTACCATGACTGTAATATGTAACTTGCAAATATATCCTCTATTTGAAAAGATTTCCTGGGGAAGGGAGAGCTTTCCTACTTTGCAGACACCAGTGTTGCAGTGTTTTTGCAGAGCACATATTAAAATGCATTAAGACATAACTAGGGTTGTCTCCATGTTATGCTGCTATTCTTAAGCTGTTATGTTACTAAGCCACATTGGCATTTTTCAACTTTCCTTTGATGTTCCCTCTATTATCTTTTTATAGCATAATCACACATTTTGGTATGTTGAAGATCAAAGGGAAGCTGGAGCTTCTAAGGCTAAGCCTGGATATGGGGCCTGTAACTAACTGAATTCATTATATTTAATAATATTCTCGAAGGAATGGCAGGGTGAAGTCATATGAAATAATAAACACGAAGGTAAATAGTGAAAAACTACTGGAGTAAGTTTGATGGCAGTTTTGTTTTATGCTTCTCTTAAGTTCCTGCACCTACTCTGTCACCCTCCACTACAGCCTGACACTTAGGCCTGGCTACCTGGCTGTGACAGCTCTTAATATTCCTTCACTGTAACAGCTCTCTCACCTAAAGTTATAAAGCTTTTAATAGACTGTGATACTTCTACAAAGTAAGAGCAACTGGCCTGCATTTGATAAACTAATTGAGGCACTTAAAATAAAAACATTCTCAAAGTAGACAGGTGTACATAAGAAGAAAACAGGTCTTTAAAAAGAACTTAATTCCTTTAGGTTCCTTGGAACTCCTATGTCAAAAATACTCATCTTCTGGCAGGCTTGGTAAGATTAAAATTAGTTCTAGATGGCATCACCAGAAGGCTATAACACACAGCTGAACGGCAGTCAAAAAGGTGTAAAATTCTCTTCTATTTTAGAAAGGACAGAGAGGTGTATTCTAGCTTGGTCCTTGTAGCTGAATGCTTACTGATGAGTGAAAGTGCAACAATATCAATTACCTAAGCACTGGCTTTCAGAAAATAGTCCCTGAATTACACAGCCAGATGTCATTAAGGGCTTGCTTTTCACACTTACAAATGTGGAAGTTAATCTGAATAAACTTGTAAAGTGTGTTAACTGAACAGTGAAACCTCTGTGCAGACACCAGTGCTGAGGACATCAGCCTTCCCCCAGCTAGAGGTGTCCTGGGGTGTAATTCAAGCAGGGGAAGGAGTTACTCACTCCTGTAGCTGAAGTGCAGTGACCAATTTGATGCAACTGCTTCCACTGTTCCAGGGGGAAATGAGAGAGGTCAGTGTTAATCAGCTTCACTGCAGCCTAAGGGAACTTGTCTCACTCCCCAGGGGAAGGGGCTGGAAACCCTTGTGCTGTCAGGTCTTGCAATTCAACAATAGGGCCAATAGGGCCAAGAAAGGGAGGGGCAGACGAGGCAGCTCTTCCAGGGCCTGTCCAAAAGTAAAAACTGCAGACAAATTAGGAAATCACTGCCCCCTGTTTCTGCAGGTTCCTGGACTGCAGCATCACTGGAAGCATGAACCTGGGGAGAGACAAGACATGAAAATGAGGCAGAAATGGTTTGCTCTTGAACCTGAAACAACTTGGAATGGTGTCATGGCTGGGAGCTTCATGCCAGCTGGGAATAGGTAATTTCTTAAATGATCTCGACTCCACTGCAAGAGAATATCTGACTAATGTGCAAGTGATTTAGGATGTTACCACAACTGAATTAACACTATTCTGAATTTAAGTAAGAATTCACCAAAGAGCTTAATGTGGTTTTGCCAGCCCACTTTAAATAACACTTCTCAGCTTAACTTCCTAAAAGTCTTTTTACAACCAAGCCCTAATCTGAAAATAACTCTGCCCGTTTTCCACTGGCATGTCACGGGTCAGGAATCACCTACACTTGCAGCAAGAGGGAAATGGGACTCCCAAGTGCTTGACAGAGGGGTACCCACATTATAGGCAGCAGCTGAAGACCATACTGGAAGTACTGGGAAATCCATGTGGAACTCAGCCAGGACCCAGGAGCTAACTGTTAATAACCAAACCAAAGAAGCAAAAGCCATCAGAAAATCCAGTGCAATCCAGCACCTGAGAGATGCCACTTGCAGAAGACAGTTTGTGCTGATCTCTACCTGTGAGTAACCGAAATTCTGGGTAATTACTGGAGAGAAGATTAAAAATTCCTGACACTTTGGTACTATTCTGTTAACACAAAGTTTTTTCATAAGCCCCAAAACCAATTACAAGGACTGTACTGAGCTAGCTTTTAGAAATTGCAGTTTAATAGGAGAGGCAAAAGAAAAAGTTTCTTTTTTCTTTTATTACATCAATTACACAAGATAAATCCATATCTCATGTGGATATGACACATGCAACTTTTTTCTTGAGTGCTTTCTAATACCCCAACTCACTTGGTCCTCCCTCAACTTGAAGCTTTGAGATTCAGTGTACAAATCCACACAGAGTAACCAGCAAATCAGCTTAATACCCCAGGGTGAAACTCATCTCACCCAGCATTTGCTGCTTGGCTGTGACACAAAGACCAGATGACCAGGTAGGAAATCACACACTCTGAGGGGTGAATTTGGCCACCCTGAGTCCCGTTTTAAGTGTTATGATGCTTAGAAAACATGAGAAATCCATGTGGAGAATGGACTGGGGACTCACCTGCCTGGCACTGATGCCAAACACCTCAACACCTTTTCCCGGCTTCCGTGTTTATCAAAATCCAAACAATGGATCTGGGGGGTTTATTTTTAGAGTGCTGTTCAATTAATTTTGGTTCTCTTGATAGACTACAGAGTCTTGCAGCTCTGCATTAAGCATACTCATTTTTTATCTCTAGTTATTGTACAATAATTTAACTTTATTGAAGTGAGGGTTTAAGTCCCCAAGGCAAATTGAAGTGCTGAGCCTGGGTATTCCAGTGTAACAAGAGTCCTTGTGCCTGTATTAGTGCCAAACTTCCCTGAAACACTGACTTTCCCCCCAGAAGCTCTTTTGCAATGTATAAAATGTCAGTATTTAAAACTATACTTTTTGAAGCATGCAAAAGTTCCACAGTTTTCCACAGAATACCTGTTTCTCTTAAAAGATTTGCCATTGTTTAAATGATTTCTCAGCACTGTTATTTTGTTTGGAAAAACAAATTCCCAAACAATTCTCTCTCTATGATAATGATGTCTTACCTACTTGGTAAGACTGTGACTCAGTACAAAGTTTATTTTCTCTAGTGAATATTCCAAACTGTCAATACACTTCACCTATGTTCCAGTCAAGAGAGAGAATTTAATTAATTACTTTTCATCCAGAAAGAAATATATAAAATCCTGATATATAAAGCCCTAAACATTTGCAAAGCCCAAATGCAAATGGCTGTGTTTGAGGACCACAAGTTCAATGCTAAAAATTACTCTTTCTCCAAGAAGCAGTAATGTGAAACTTGAGTTCCTCTAAAGATTTTCAACTTTACAGACTGGACGTGGAACAAGACCCGAAATTTTATTCTAAGGCTTTGAAAAAGAATGTAGACTTATACCCTTCCTCAAAGGCAACTCAGATTTTAACAGGTTTTGAAAAGGATTGCAAAACACTACAAGTTTCCTGTGTTGGCAGCAAAGCCTGTCTAAGAACATGAAGTAGAAAATAATAATAAAGTCTAATACAACCTTCTGTTGTACATAGGGCTTTAAGGATGTGATAAAAAAGACATGGTATTTTGTGTGCCACATTCAGAATGACACAGCCCCACAGTGAGGTCTGGGCTGATGTGATATATAAGTAAAACCTCTGTGGTTTCTCAGTTCAGTGTGATTAGTGAAGCAGTGGGTCACCCTGTTGTACACAGGTATGATGTAAAATGCAATATGGCATTTCTGTTATTATGCCTAAGTGGGAAAAAAAGGTACAATAAGGCAAAGAATGTGCTGTCCTCCAAAGTAAAGGGAAATGCTACTGACAGCAGAATATTGCTTTGTTTGTTCTTGTGGCACAAACAGTCCTCAGGCACCTCCTAAACAGGCTGGAAATCAACCAAAGAAGAAAACTGGGTTGTTGGGGTTTTTGGGGTTTTTTTTGGTAAGGATTTCAAAGTCACTTCCGACATATCAGTCAAAGCACCACAATCCAATCCCAGCAGATTATTATAAATCCAGAGGGTGATTTTTTCAAAGCTGCCAATGGGATTTAGATGCACAACCCTAATTTATTTAAGAAGAGCTGTAATTCCAGGGCTGGACTTTGAAAGCAGAGTTATAAATATCAATACCTTTGTGTCTGAAGACACAACCAAAGGCAAGGGAGCATTGTTTTGACAAAAACAGTGAAGACAAGAACAACAAACCTATAGGGAACAATAAGTGTAATGGATTACTGATAATGTCAGAAATGTCTAGATGGCTCCAGCTAGAGAGACCTACTCCAGACTTGTTTACACTGCAACAAAGCAATACATAATGCATTGGGCACTTGGGTTTTGCTGTTTGTGAAAGAAACTCGAGCCATTCTGTGTTTTACTTGCATTTCATAGTATCACTGGAGGTAACCATTAAGCTCATTTTACTTGTGAGTAGGTTGAGACATAAATCCAAGGTTACAGACAAAATCTCTGATTCAGCAAAGCACTTAAGCACATGCTTAGCTGTAAACACATGTACCATCCCATAAAAGTAAAGATAATCATGTGCTTAAGTGCTTTGCTGAATCAGGGCCAAAGACAATAGCAGAGCCAGGAGGAGAAGCCAGGCATCACTAAAACAACTAGACAACTTTCCCTGCAACATAAATGTTATAAAAAGGAATAGATCATAAAGGGGATGGTTATGACTTTTTAGAAGAGTTAAGAACAGCTGTCACAAGGTGGGGGGTAGGGACTGAGAATAAAAAGGCATTTTAATATTGGTTTTCACAGCATCCTTAAGAAAGCAGAAAGTAATTTGCTTCCTATTTCATCTCATGCCACTCTTTCAAACCTGCTTCCTCACTCAAGGAAAATCCCGGTGCATTACCCAGCCCTTCTGCTAATTGATTTTAGACCAATCATCGTTCATTACTGTATCTTTGACTAGTAAAATAAGATGATACAAGGAAGAGCAGACAGGTTAGTGAGAGCAGGAACAAGGTGCCAAGTAGGAAACACCAACACAGACTCACAGAATATGCTGAGTTGGAAGGGACCCAAAAGGATCATCCAGTCCAACCCTTAGCCCTGCAAAGGACACCCCAACAATCCCACCCTGTCCCTGAAAGTGTTGCCCAAACCCTCCCTGAGCTCTGGCAGCCTTGGGGCTGTGCCCACTGCCCTGGGGAGCCTGGGCAGTGCCCAACCAGCCTCTGGGGGAAGAACCTTTCCCTGAGATCCAACCTGAGCCTGCCCTGACACAGCTCCAGGACATTCCCTCAGGTCCTGTCACTGGTCATGAGAGTGAAGAGCTCAGTACCTGCCCCTCTGCTGCCCCTCAGGAGGATGTTGCAGACCCCAGTGAGGTCTCCCCTCAGTCTCCTCTTCTCCAGCTGAACACACCAAGTGCCCTCAGTGTCCTCACACAGGTTCCCCTCCAGACCATCCCCCATCCTCATCCCCTCCTTTGGACACTCTCTAATGGCTCAATCCCTTCCCTACATTGTGTCCCCCCAAACTGCCCCAATGTTGAGGTGAGGCTGCCCCAGGGCAGAGCAGAGCAGGACAATCCCCTCCCTGATGCCCCCAGGACAGGGTTGGTTTTCCTGGCTGCCAGGGCACTGCTGACTCAGGGACAACTGGCACCACCAGGACCCTCGGGGCCCTTTCCTGGCACTGCTTTCCAGCCCCTCATTCCCAGTCCATAACACAGCCAGGGCTGCCCCAACCAGGTACAGAATCCGCCCCTTGCCCTTGTTAAACTCACACACTTGGTGATGGCTCATCTCTCTGGTTTGTTGAGGTCTCTCTGCAGGGCCTCTCTGCCCTCCAGGGAATCAACAGCTCCTCCCAATTTGGTGTTACCAGCAAACTCAGTATTCCTTTGAGCCCCGTGTCCAGGTCATTAATGAAGATGTTGAAGAGCACTAGGCCGAGCATGGAGCCCTGTGAAACCCCACTAGTAACCATGCCAGCCTGATGTTACATTTTTCTCCTTGTGCTTTTTATTAGGTAGAAAACAATCGTTTCACTCAGTATTCATTTATGTTCAGAAGCAATCAACACAACACAAAGGATACAGGTGGTATTTTCAGCACATTAAAGGCCTGTCACAGGGAATTCAACCACCAGCCATGTCGGGATGCTCCATTTCATACCCCAGCCCACATCACACTGCCCAGTCCTTTCTGGAGAGCGTGTGTCCACCTGCTGCAGCCTCACACAAAGCAGCTCTGTACACCCAGACGGGCTCCAGGCACGTGCTGAAGTCTGAAGGATGAAACTGGGGGTGCAGAAAGCTCTGGGGGAAAGACCCGGTTTGTTCAAACAACCAGCTGTATGGTTTTAATAAATTTTCTGAACACGTTTCAGAAACCTTACAGGACTTTTTGGGGTCATGTTTCTGCTCTGCA